AATGTGGCACCAGGAAGAGACTTGCCACCAAATTTTTCATGTGTTTAATAAAGAAAACCTGCTGAATGTTGCCCATGGCAGAACTCATTCCCTTTTCCCAATTCATACAAACCAGCAAACCTTTGGAGGAGGCAGTGGGCAGGAGAACCTGGCTGGAAGGGGCAGTTAGGACGGGGTGGGCGGGAGATGTCAGGGGGAATACCACAGGGGCTGAACTCAAACACAAAACCTTGGAGTGGAAGCATGGGGTATGGTGGCTTTTGACCTAGCATCCTGCTTTCAAGGTTCAGAAGTGAAGACCAAGGACTTTTCCAATGTTGCAGCTGGACAGGTGTGTGATCCCAGACCCACTGTCTGTCTGAGAGAGTTGCAAGACAGGAAGCAGCTGTTGCTTGGGGGGTGGGGGCTTTGTGGTGGGTGGCTTCACCACAGTGGACTTTTAGCTCTTCAACATGGGCTCCCTGGCCCCAGGACCCAGTCTCTCCCTTTGAGGAGTCCAGATGGCCCGAGTACACTTGAGGCTCCTGTATTGCAGCCGACCTGACCCCTGGGACTGCCTATCTCCACCAATGCTGCACTGATCCCCTACAACAGGACTTAGGCAAAGAGTGGAGCCACGGACAACAGAAGAGTTCCCCCCAGACTCCACGGCTGGCATCAGGACCAGCCCACCATTTTTGGGGCTCCCTGCAAGAAATAGTCTTGGGGCCCCCTGCCCTGAAGAAGCCAGCAGTGGTGGTAGTGGCAGCGGCAGGCGGGAGTGGCGTACAGCCAGATGTGCAGGCAGTGGCAGCAAGCAGCCGGACACAGGGGCATAGGCAGAGGAAGAAAACAAAATTTGAAGGGGGTGAGCGTGCACACGTGCATGCGCGCACACACGCCCCCCCATGGGAAAGTCTGAAGGGGGAGGGGAAAGGGCCAAGAAGGGAAGCAGCATTGCCCAGCACTGCACCGCCCCGGCCAGCTCCCAGCCCCAGCCCTGGTCCCAGCTTCCTCCCGGCCCTGGCCACGCCAGCCCCAGATGCCACACTAACCATGGCTGCCTCCTGGCACTGGCCGGACCGGCCCCAGCCCTAGCAGCATCCTGACCACACCGGCCCAGGCCACTGCACCAGCACTAGCCGCGCTAGCTTCGGCTGTCTCCCAACCCCGGCACCTGACCCGGATGCACCGGCCCTGGCTGCGCACTGGCTGTGGGGGGTGCCCAGAGCCAGGTCCCGAAGCAGGGCCAGCCTCAGCTGCCTGCCGGGCTGGAGGGGATGGAGCGGCACCCACCACATTTGAAGCGGTGGCAGCAAGGCACGGAGACATGGAGCAGAGGCTGAGCCCAGCTTGCAGCTGTGGCCTACCCTCACCCATGCAAAGATCAGGTGGCCACGTGCCCTCCCCCACCCCTTGGCTGCCCAGTGCCGCACCTTTGGAGGAGCCTCTGGGCTCTGACTGAACCATGACTGGGCTAGGCCAGGGCCCCAGTCACAGTGAATGGGGGCTGGGCTGGGTCATGGAACAATCCCCACAGTAAGGAGGGAGCAGGCCAGGGGTAGTGGTGAATGATTCGCCCTTCCCTACCTGACTCTCTCCTGCACTTTGGGGGTCTCAATCTGCCCTCCTCCAAGCCCAATGCCTGTGCTGGGCCAGCTGTGATCCTGGCGGCGAGTGTGCATGGTAGCTCAGCGTGCCCACCACTGTAGGAACCTAAGGCCATGCCTGCGGCAGGGGAGCAGCAGCGGTGGTCAATCTCAGGGGAGGCACCCGCACCTACATGCACCTCCTACAGCGGCCAATCGGAGGCAGGGGTGTGAAATCGGAAACTGGAAATGCTTCCTGCGCCACTGCCACCCCTTCCAGTTTCGTGGCCTGTCGGCACCCCCCACAGCCCTGCACCTGGGGACCCTCCCCCCCCGGTATCGGTACGTCACTGCCATGCTTCCCTACCTGGGGAGACATTTCAGCCCCGTATCCCTGATGAACTGGGTCTACACTCCCAATATTCCCCTGGTGAGAGTCAGCCAGGCCCTGAGGGATTAGCTTTTCTGGTTCTCCTGGGGGAACTCCAGGCAATACACTGTGCTCCTGCAACATGGTCCCCTGGGAGTATCTCAACAGCTGGAGAGGGGTCATCTGCTGTGATGGCACACTGGGGAACTCTGGGTTGCCATTCAACATTGGATAGAGCTGACACCCCCTCTGGAAGACTTTGCTATTGCTGCTGCTATTGACTTACTGCTCAGCCTGTGACCTGACCCAGAGAGAATTTCCCCAGACCCCAGCTGCATAAGAAGAGCCCTGCCATGGGCTGCCCCTGGCTTTACAACGCTGCTCCTCTACTGAGAATATTCCAGGAGGCAGCTGGAAGGAGAGAGAGAAGGAGGGAGGGAGTTAGGAAAGACTAGGAGCTTTTTTTGCTAGGGTGAACTGTTTTTATTCC